CGCGGGGCCCCGGGACAGCCCTAGAGAAAAAAGTAACTGAGATTACGTTGAGCTTGACTGGAATTAGAGAGAGTTGACTGGCTTAACCCGGGTTTTGTAAGAGCAACTGGGATTGCCTGATTATTCTTTGGTTATTGCCTATTATACTAAGGATTTACACGGCTTTAGTGAGCGGCCGGCTCGCGACATAATGCAGTTATCATCAGTTAAAATGCAACTAATCGCAGTTACATTGGGAACTGGCATTGACTGGCAATCCTGGAATTCTAGCTGTAAGTGAGGCTGATATTAGCTTTGACTTGGCTGACTTTCGCTGTTTGCATAGCACACCTTTGATCAGTATTTTCTTAGTTATTATCAGTTCAACTTGAACTGTTTTTTGTGATATGTTAACTGAACTTCCACGACTTTGCTGCTCATGTAAGATCAGTTCAGTATGTTCAATTTCCAGTGAGCGGCATCAACTGAATTTTGTTTGAGTTTTGGCTGGTGATGGTGTAATAGTCGGATTATGGTTTGTATCAGGTGAAGACTCACTAAAGTCAGTGCAGTCACGTAACTGGTCTTACACTAGAATAGGCTGAGTATACACATCACTTGGTCCAGAACAATTATCAGCCAAAAAAATACTATTCAGTGAGATTCTGGCACGCACATTGTGTATCGGAAACTGATTTTTGTGATTGCGAGCAATAATGTTGAACCGACTAATATGTGACTAATGTCAGTCCGGTGTGTGACTGACATGAGCTGACATTCGGCTGAATTTAGAGAGGTGCCTTTAATCAGTTATGATTGATCTAAGCTCAGTCGCGTCCTCAGCCAGTGACTAAAATCAATCAAAAATCAGTCAAGGCCCTCAGTCAAAATCAGTCATATTCGTATCAATTCCAGTAAGGCAAAAAGTGGGCTCAGTATAATCAGTAAAATTAAGTGTAAAATCGGGTAAAAGCCGAGAATATCCGGGTATATTCGGTTAAAGCCAGTCAGACTCAACAATACTCAGTTAAACCCAGTCAAAATTTTTGTTAAATACAGTTAAAATGAAACAATTCCCAGCTATCTTTTTCTCTAGGGAGACCGGCACCGTGACGATCAAAGTTGATTATTTATTTTTTCGTCACAAGTTGGAGCAGGAGGGGGACGGGTTGGCCCCGACTTAAAATTAAGGCAGAGCGAACGAGTGAAACGCGGTGATGACAATGTCTTATTTTTTGAGTAAAAAAGGAAAACTTTCAGGAACTCCCATGTTTAAGTAGTCCTCCGATCTCGCCTCAGATTTTGAAGAACATTCTCAAAAAATGAGGAAAACTCCCACATTCCCACATTCTCGAAATCTGAGGAGTTGTTGTCGAACCAGGGGAGTTCCTCATAGTTTTCCCCTCTCCCCCAAAACGTGAGACACTATTTTTACCGTGAAGAGCTCAGGGGGGTCGAGGGATCGTACGCCAAACCCGTCCTCTGTGGAATAGGTTTACTTCGGCACATCTCTTTACTGACGCTCCAGTGCTCGGTTATTAAGTTCTGGTTGTTTTTCAAAATTAATGATGGTGCTCTTTCGAATTCGATCTAAGGCCGTTCGCATATCTCTATATACAGCGACCGCGGCAAATGGATATCCTTTAGGTATTGCTTCCATGTATTCTATTTATTATCAGTCCATGCATTGTGGTTGACAAGTTTCCGCAAGTTCGCACTATTGCCCCCTTGGACATTGTCACTGATGAAAAGAAACCTTTATCGCAGTACCCCAATTAAGCTGAACGTGAAAAATATCAATGACTCTCCTTTTTACTTGACATAAACGCAATTTTCGCATGGTCCCCACGAGAGATCGTCACCAAACAAGTCACCAAAGCGGGTCGATGCGTTGCGTCCGAACACACACCACGTGACTCGGCACGTGACGCTTGTATAGCGTGACGATCAACATGGCGTGAGGCCGCACGACCACGCATCGCCAAGGAAAAACAGTGGCGGTGCTAATTTTTCCATTTTTACGTGCTCTTTATTTTTCCATGTCCTATCATCGACACGTGACTGTTTGCTCCCATAGACCCCCTCTCTCTCCTGCTTTCCCCCACCCCAAATCAACCCTCTCTTTCCCCCGTTTCAACGCCCGTCACGACCAGGGCCTGCCGCCTGGCTGACCTGGCCGACCCACCTGTTCCGGTAGTATGAGAAATTTCTCAGGCAGGTGCAGCGAATTCCGGACAAATTTGTAAGACGTATTCGTCCAGCCAGGGCTATCGCCCCTCTTTCAGGGGAGCACGCTGGACGAAAGGAAATCAGAGGGGGGGGGGTATATTTGTGGTTGCGTCGAAAATGTTTGGACAGCTGCCTGGTCACATTGTCGAGGTAATAGCATGATAATGAAGGACCAAACGAGACTGAGTTTATTTTTTGCTGTACCAACTTTGGTCTCTTTTTTTTGCGCCTCCTAATACTTTTTACGTTGTGAAAAACAATAATTCCAGTAAACAAATTGTGATGCTGAAAAAAACCGCGTATGTTTTGAGGAATTTTCTTTTTATCACAATGTTTGTCATGTTTGTGATATCGTCATCGTCGACGTATAGGCCGATGGTGCCGAGGCCCTGGGGTGGCGGGATGGGGCGGTGTTGTAGCTGTCGGGGAGGCCTCTGCTCCGAGTAGGGGGGAGGGGGGAGACTCAATGGCCCCTCGGTGACCCTCGGTCGCAAGTTAAGGAGGACTTGAAACAAGTTGCGTATATACGTTTTCGCTTGCCGCGCGACAGACTCGTGCCGCCACCCCAGCCTGCTGGCGGGTTCATATTTATGGGGTGCTGCGGGAACGTGATGCATATTCCCGATGGCGCTGTCCCACAAGGAAATTGGCGAGAGGGTCCCTGTTTACAAGGATGGGGGCGAAAAACGAGCGCGGTACTCTGCTGACAAGTATATCTAGCAGTGGTGAGGCCGAGAGAGAGAGAGAGAGAGAGAGAGAGAGAGAGAGAGAGAGAGAGAGAGAGAGAGAGAAGACCTCTGGTGTGACAGGCTGCGGTCTCTTTTATGAGCGCACGCGTGCCTCACCACGCCCCCGCCACAGACAACCCCGCGCCCTGCTGTCTATGTCGTTACGCAGGGCTACTCACACGCGTGCGCGTGAACTTATTCCGGCGTTTTTATTTTATTACTGGAACATACACACATATTCGCCCGGAAATTGTTTCCGCAGGTGTTAAGTTTTATAGACAATTTTTAGCGCCTTTTTTTGTTTTTGCTTTTTTGTGATATTATTTTTTTGATGTTTTTACTTGCCTTGCAGATATCTCTCCCTCTTTCTCTCTCTCTCTCTCTCTCTCTCTCTCTCT